CGTTACATATATAAATATCATTCAATTTTATACTAACGTCTCGTCACGGATTATCAATAAGTCCCGGAATTTTCAATCAATCGTTAGAAATAGTAAAGTCAAATGCATCTACGACGCCTACATATATACATATTAAAAAATCTTACAATATTAAGGTGGCTAAGATGTCCGTCCCTCCGTCATTAACTACCACGACATGTCTGTGTACTTCCAACAAAAGTGCTAAGAGCGAAAATCTAAACTTTTAAAAGTTTTTCAAAAAACCAAATGAGTAGAAATTTAACTCGCACAGTTGCGACAATTATTATTATAAAGTGTAAAATGGAAATGGTGTAGATGGGACTATTAAAATAATAAGTTAACTACGTTATAGCCCCTCAAGGCTAACCATAAAATGGTCTACGCCGCTACACTCGTCATAACATATCAAAGCATGTTGTACAGCATGTTGCCATGCAAAGGCTTACTCTTCTTCACGAAAGCATGATGCATCCAGAAAGTAGATCAACGTGATCCCAATCCTTTTAATTTTATTTATAGATATATAAAAAAATTAAACTTTTTTTTTAATGTGAAAGGAGATGCGAAAAATGGGATAACTTAGTCCAAATAAAGTGAGAAAGCATGGCCAGGCATCGGGCAAATAGGCGAAAAAACAATCTTTACGATCACATTTGTACTCAATCCCAAGAAACGAAAATACAAAAGTTTGATGTCTGCAATGGGAAATGTTGTTTCGTCCGTTCGTTCATTCGTCAGTTACCACTCATTACCGTTCGGACATTCGTAAATATTAGAAAAAACACAAATACACACACACACACACACACACTGAAATACGTACCATATATACCTAATACGAACACTTAACATGGCCACTAGAAAGCTTGTTATGAACTTGACCCCGACCGGGAAGCCTTAACAATTTCTGAGGTGATAAATTTTCAAAATTCGCCTCCTTCATTGCGCCTTCATCGCATTCAAATCCCCACTAAATCCGTGTTTCGCTGGTCCGTGTTATTTTTATACTTAAAACAGTACGCTTGCGCGGATGTATGTAACATTCAGAAATATTTACCATAGACGAATGAATCTCGCATTATACCGATCCGAATCCCGAATCATTTTTCGAATCGTTTTAAATTTTTCTGTCCGTCTGTCTGGGTACTTTTCTGTCTAACCTCGTAAAGTTTTGCGATACTTTGACGAATTTCGTACAATGACGTCTTTAGGACTCAAGTACCAGCCTAGTTGATTACATATTCAATCGGGCTATATTTACGACACGTTTGCATATCAATTTTTACAATTTGTTGACAAAAATTCCTGATTAATAAACAGCATTTACGCACCGCAGTTGATTGATGCGAAAAATTCGGTCTTGAGCCTCGTCCAAGTAGCCTGTATGGGAAAGGGGTTTCAGGATAGTGAGATCATATATGAATTTTCTGTGGGTGTGTAGGGCATTTAACGATTGCTGGCCGGATAGCCACACGACAATATTTTTCCTCGATTTGCATACGAATGAGCCTTATAAGGTCGGCTGGAAGACAAATGGATTCGTTTCTTATCGCTGTAGCGCTAAGTAAAGTTTTAATTATTTGAAATAAAAACAACTTTTTTTTCTCTCTCTCTCTTTACAGGTGAATAAGCAAAATATTTCAAATTTTCACTTAAGTGTATTATGAATTTCTGTTTGGTCGAAGATGCACATTGACGATGTAATTAAGATATGTATATATATATATATATATATATTCAAGTAAGTACACCTTTTAAAAAGTTTTTTTCGTATACATCTGCTGCTTACAAATAAGAAATTTGCCATAAGTCATAATTATTTTGTAACTCTATTCCCCTAATTATGTTTGCTTTATCTTTCGCATAACATGAATTCAAGTATACAGTAGTAGTAGTAGTCAAAGTGTCGAATGTGTTCGCAATATTTGCAAAAAAAAAAAAAAAAAAAAAAAAAATGTGATTACAACTGAAACAAGTGAGAAACTTATACTCGATGCAGGATTAACTTTCAACTCCCGGCAGGCAAAAGCCTGTCTGCCATAGCCACTTATACATATGGGTGGGCTTCGGATACTTGGCCGTTCACTTGATTTCAAATCAATACGTTTCGAAGGTTCCAGCTTACAACTTTTCTTGGCTCTTATCTGGTCTCATGTGCTTTTTTTATGATTTTTTGCTGAAATTGTTTATGATCCTCGTAAAGGGTTCTACAATATTTAACATCCATTCCTGCCATGAGTATGGCAGCGTACAAGCCAGATTGTAAGGAGGTTATGATCATTTCTAAACTTCTCATATCTCGCTATCAACTAAGAATTTACACGCCATGTTTAAGTTAAGACGGAAAAAATGAATTTGGAATCTTGCGTTGATCAGAAATATATATATATATATATATATATGTATATTTGATCTTTTCTCTGATGGACTCTTTAGAGACCGTACAGATAAGTGCTTCGGTTTTGGATATAAAAAAAGTAAAGAAGAAATTACGCAAATTTCAAGTTTTCGATCATTACAGAGCAAACAAATGCTTTGCTGAAAATGATACTATGGAACCTGGTAGCGTTTATTTTCAGGCGGACACCGTAAGCTGCCACGCAACTAATGGAGCTTAAATGTCTCTTCAATATATTTAACCTGCCAATCGGAAAATATTCTGTGAGCACGTAAGCATCGTGACGGGCGGTCGTAACTAGAGGCAGAGAAGGGGAAAAATGCGAAAACGTGCCTAGAATCGAATCATGAAAGAATTTTCACAAAAACATGGATAAAGAATATGTTATCAATTGTTGGGATTTTCGCTAATTCCAGACGACTCAGCTACTTTTTCAGCTAATTTAGTCGAAATTGTGAAAATACAACCCTACGATCAAATATCACGTAATAGCTGAATACGTTGAAAATTCAATTTGCGAACATTGAAATATATTCATAATTAATGCCTATCGCCCATAAGTAGATGGTATCCATTGCATATGGATTATTATTGTTATTATCATTGTTGTAAAAACAAATGACGTCAGAATTATGAATGGATCTGTTAGTGATTTTTTGGCAGGCAATTATTTAATAAATGCTTATTGCTATACAAGATAATCTCTTCGCATTGCGACTATGTGTAGTGTAGTAACTTTCACTTCCCTGTATACATTTTCAAATTACTTTTGCAGCAAGCATAACTTAAAAGTACACGAAAATGAAGATGTTATTGTTCGCTATTTCACAGCAGCAAAGCAACACCAAAAAAAAAAAAAAAAACAAATGATTCATCTAAAAACTGCTTATTCATCCGATTTTGTAGTGGTGTACAAGCGGGCCATTGTACTGATTTACATATTATTGAAGTACATAAGTATATCATCATGTTACCTAATCATTTATTATACGGAAAAGATGAAATCACTTCTTCGCGGCCAATGATTGTCGTCTTTGCTTGAGCTACTTTTCATGTTTTTGTCTTGAGCGTTCATTAGTAAGCACCGAGACGTTGTCACAATAATTTATCAGCTCTTTTAACCAAAGATGTCATTTAAAATTTTGCGCCAATTTTGCAGCTGTCAACGTACAATAACACAAAAAAAAAAAAAAATCTCCTCACGGCGAACTTGCGAACGTAAGAATGATCAGATTTTGTCAGTTACACTTACTGATTGGGCGTTGAACTCCGTCCATCAACTGGATTTTATCCTTTTAAACAAAATTATTCTCTCTTCTAATGAGACTTATTTTCACCAAGGAGAAGTTACTCAATAGCTTGCAATTTGCTTTCCGTTTACCTTTAGTGAGTGAGTGTATGTATTATTGAATAATGTTGATTGACTTAATTTGGCCTAAGATGATGGACTGATGCTATACTCGCTGGCGATATATAATTTCAGCAAAACGGCGCCATTTACTAATCAAATAACGGCTTTACTATATGAGACCTCGGGATGAAAAACGTGATGAATTTTTTTTTTTTGTTTTTTTTTTGAAAGTTCGATTCTTGAGAGTTTATTATTATATTTAGTTTCGCGACTTGATGGAGATTTTAAAATTTCATTCAGTCTGGGATTGCTCGACAAGGCATCAATTGTATTTATCGATGTCCTGTCTTTTGCTCTCGAATAAATTTCTTCCGATGATTTAGTTTCAAAGTGAAAGCGATACGTTTCCAAGTAAGTTTACGCTAAGTAAGGAATATATAAGTTTGTTCAAACCTGATCGTAAGACGTCTGTCCATGCATTTCTAAAACTGTGGTAAATTTACATTAAAATTCTATTTTTGTATATTTCGTTAGTGTCTACGCTTTCTCGCCGTTAAACATTACGCTATCATTTTGTGAGCAGGCTTAACATACGCTCTTTATGCGCAGAAATGTTTTACTTAAAGTCATCGATTGCTGTCCATAATTAAAAATGCATATACACTATGACCAAACTACAAAAAGAAAAGCGATCAGAGTCTCAGGAAAAAAAAAAAAATGGACTAAGATATGTTAGCCCATAAGCGCATATTCAGATTAGATATAGCTTTCGTCTCCCTCTAATTATCATTTGTTTCAAGCATTGACTAATAGATTTGTGGAGCAGAATTTGCTTTGTTCGAATGATACCGAAACGTGTTCGTTTAGAGAAAGCCTTTGTGCTACACCTATCCGCATGGAATTCATATATCATATATCGGGGGGATTAAGGGAAAAGTAGCAAACTAGCGATCATCAATATTTCATTTATTTTAGTTTTAATTAGCAATTGATTTATTTATTGCTTATCAATCATAAACTATTTTTTGATCGCAATAAAGTTGTGGTTCGACTAAAGTGAAGCTTCCAATTTAATGCATCCCTCTATAAGAGCGAGCGAGAGTAAACCATAATCTTTATTAATTCGAACGGATAATTATGGCAAAGATTCGTAATCCAAAATGCAAGCGGGTGTTAGTATATAAATGAAGTATACGTTATTTTCGACTATTTTCGCGATTTTTTTTTTTTTTTTTTTTTTCAATATATATCTTAAGCAATTCACTTTTGTTCTATGTGTTCATGCAAGTGACGAATTTCCCCTAATTATATTCTCTATCCAAGGTACATAGTCGGAGACTCTAGTGTATATGCCAGGTATAGTTGAAGCGCAACCGACGCCAATTGAGGTGATGCCCACAATGTACGGCACTGTGTACAAATCGTTATGAACAAGTTTCACTAAAGGTCCGCTAGAATCCTCCTGCATATAGGAATAATTAGTTATTCATTATACAAAATCATATATATATATATGTATAGTCTTTTATTCTAATACATTACCGGACAGTGATCTCGAATTTTTTTGGAATCGATCGCACAAATTTGCTTATCCGATATTCCATTTTTAAGAGGTCCCAATAAGTTGCCGGGTGGATGATCCCGATCGCAATCATTTTGCGAATGAATTTTCAAATCAATTTTTAATAAAAGCTCCGGCGATATGTGAGCTGCAAAAGTGTTATCGTAATCAGTATTAATGAGTATTTATTATCGTTTAGAGGTATGCAATTACGAAACGAGATTTGTCCATAACCCAAGAGAATGACATCACTATGATCTTCTATATGCTTTTCTGTCCAAAGGCATGCGAAAGACTCATCAGATCTTAACTTGAAATCATAAATAACTGAAATCATGTTAATTATGCCGCAATCTCATTACATACATTACAGGCTTCGCTAATTTAATTAAAGCTATATCATTATATATAGCTGGATGGCTGTAGTTAGGATGCTCGATACATTCAGAAATTTTTATATTCGGTGTTAAGGTGTCATTCAAATTGCGCCCACCTGCACGCAATAATGTAGGCGAACCTCTAGTAGCAGAGACCGCAATTAATGTAATTAGATGATAACTGAGGTAAGACTTATACGATAGTTTTCGATACTTACTCCTCATCGTGCAAGCAATGAGCTGCCGTTATTGCGAAATTGGCTGATATTAGTGCAACACCACAATTATACTTGATTGTTATGTTATCGCCTTTCGACTGCCAACCTAAAGCATACTTTAAAATAACAATAAATTGCCGTAAAAATGTGTCGAGTTTCTCATTTACATCACGACCGATCGTACCATAAAAGGATATTCCCGTTGTTTACTTGTTGAGTTATTTGCAATAGTTTTGTAACGTACGGGACACGTGGCTCCTAAACAGATGGACTTAATGCATGAGCTTTATCATTTAAATGCACTTTAATTACAAACATTACATACCCCTTGCAGTGGCTATCGCCGTCTCATTTACCGTCATTTGTGCTTTCGAACAACAAATTTGCAAAACACCATCGATCTCCTCGCATTCGTCACGATAAAAATATATCGAAGATTTTTTAGTTCTACACTGATTGTGGGGTACACACAATCCCATACCTTCATCGTTGTTGCAACGCTGCTGAATATCGAAAATATTATGTGCACGCGATCGACCGGGACTTGCGAACGTAACTGAAATTTATAAAATTTTTTATTCATGAAATTTTTTATTCATTGTTTGTGTAAATATTTGATTCTGTTTACCCATTAGCGCGATTGATATAAGCGATTTTTTGAATTTCGCATTTTTCGTATGCATTACTTTTGTTACGTTGCAAAAACTGACTTCACTCAAATAGTTAAACACTGATGTGATATTTCAGTTATCAATAACTTTGCCCGCCACCTGTACAATAACTGAATTTGTTCTGAAGTACATTTACATACATGACGTTTCGCAATTCTCTCGCTCGCAATTTTTTTTTTTTTTTTTTTTTGCGAATGTATGCAACATCGAGAAGCCGTACAGATAGGCACCATTTGTGATATATGCCTACAAGACGAAATTTTTCATTTGAAATTCGATAAATTACAATGTTTGAGCGCAACGTGCGATATAAGGCCTTAGTTTGAAAAGATCTTTGGCCGCTACTAAATACGAGTACGAAAGACTAGAATGCTGTCTGCATAAACAAGCATTCCTAAGCAATGTGAGACCTTTTCTTAGGCCTTTAGGCCTATCGTAGGAAGCTTGAATTTTTCGCATTTTGTAAAGGAAATAATGGCGTAAGGTGTTCAATGATTGCTCTTACTCGACAATAATAAATTAAATTATTGTTATTTCTATTATATTCCATTTCGTTCACGAGGTTCGAGGTTCAATCATCGTAACTCGAATCTTTGATACTCACCATCGAGAGCGCAAAAAAAAAAAAAAAAAAAAAAAAAAAAAAAAAAAAACTTGAAACGATTAGACGCCATTTTAAGCCGTCTATTAAGTTGTATGAAAAAAAACAAAAAAAACAAAAAAAATCTATGCCATATCTAAAATCTAAACACTATTCTATGCATACGAAGTTATTGTCACAAATAATGTTGGATTCTGCTGTTGGAGACTGCTAAGGAAGCAAAGAAAACGCTAAATTCATTTGAATGTAAATATATCGTTCGTCATCATTATGATCATTACCATCGCCATCATATCATCATCATATATCATCGTAATATAATGATCGTATGTATACGTTGCACTTGTAACAGAAATGTTTCCGATTTTCTATCTTGCCTTAAAACGTAGACACAAGTTAACGCCTCTGTATATATCACGCTAGTGGAAGCATCGACATGACAAGAGTTTGCCGGTGCTCGCAATTCTTAAATGAGAACAGAATCGATGCTCCTCATTTCAAAAGCAAATTGCTCTGGCATTGTGTAATTTAAAAGTGAGCGTCTCGTTATTGGTCCGTTATACGAGACTTATACTTGCAGCATTATCCGTTGAATATATTTTTAAAAGCTTTGCTTTCAGTTTTCTCGATCTTTGCCATGCCGTCAATTTGTCTGCTCACCGATTATAATCAACTGACTTGAGAAATTGCGCTGAATAGTGTAGAAATCCGATCCGATCCGATCTCTAAGTATTATAAAATTAATCCCCTTAGCAAATAGGTCGTCTTTTTATTTACCCGAGAATGGCTAAAAGGAAAACTATATATATATATATAGAATGTCGCAAATGGATCGAATTATTTTGCCGACCCTTTTCCAATTTAACTTTAACAATCGAGTATCTCGTCCGTTATCAATTATTTGCTGTGATTAGTAAGCAAATTCCCTGAAATAAAATAATCAGGTTTTTTTTTTTTTTACTTTATATAATTTCATAAATATATATATATATATATTGATATTGATATTTTTACTTATGCACACATCAATTTTATATAGATTTAATTGACATAAGAAGGGCATCACTCGTAATCACTTATTTACACAATGCGATTTAGGCGCGTACACATTTCGGTCTCTTAGTAGACCGATCATTTTCGCATTTCTCAAAAGCGCTGCACTTAACATTACCACAGTATGTACCCGAACCACCAGCTACAAAGAGAATTTTCATAAAATACATAATTATTATGGTGTTCCTTTCGTTCCAATCATCGTCTAATGTTCTTTAGGTTGATCAAATTTCTTTTATTTTACAAAATCTGTGGTACACATGCATAAAAAATAAATTTATAAACTCTCGTTTATGTAAAGCAAATGCAATTAATCCATTTCGTGCCCTATGAGTGAGTCATTTTTACAATTTAAAGGCAATCAGACTCATACTTTATATAAATGTAGTTCTCTAGTTCACGATTTTTAATGATCAAAATGAATTTGTGTTACGGTAGGCCCATGATCTTTTAATAGTTTTCAAAAGTAAGCATATACGTATGAAGCCATGAACATGACTCGAACGTATACAGCTAAGACGAACAATTCGCACTTTTAATGTTAGTTAGTTAGTTAGTTAGTTAGTTACCTCTTGAGAGAAACATGTATAGCATGATTGCTATACACATGTATCAACTGATGGATAGGACTTTGAAAATGGATCGATAGATCGATCGGTAGTTGAATAAGAAAAAAAAAATAAAAAAAATTCAAAATCTATATATATACATATATATGTATATATATATATATTTATCATCATGAATATGAAAGTACAATAGCCCCGCTTAGATTCTCATTTCAGAAAAATGGATAACGGAGAAAAGACAAAAACGAATTCAGTTACCAAATAGCATTCTTCATTGAACAGTAACAAGTTTAAGTAAATCTAGAGCTTAAGCAATTGGCAACGCAAGATTACTTGGCTATATATTAATAATTACCTTCCATCCAACCGATAACTTTTTGCAATTTAATCTAATCGTAAGTGTAAACTTTCCAAAAATATAATAATAATGCTTGGATACCGGTGAACATATGATTCTCTAGCACAGTTCAACAGTATTTCGTTTTACTATCCAGGCAATCGCGTCTCGTCTTATTATTTACTAGGCATAACGCCCCTTAAATGGTCCCGCTATTGGGGATATATTTTAGTATTCCTAGCTGCAGCTGAAAAAGTCATTTTTTCGAACATAATGGTGGCGTACAGTTACGTCAAGCTATGTCCAACTTAAAATTTTACTTCTTCAAGCAATTACATGCAAAGAAGTTTTTCCGATGCGTTGACTACGATTTCGTAAATACATTCGAGAAAATGCCCATTTCAGTTTCATTCGCGAGGTAAGCATATCCCGTAAACAGAGAAGTTAACAGAGACAGTGTACTACTACTAATGTATAAGAACAGATCGGCTTCGATTCGGTGATGGTAGATACTTTCAATTGTCATTATTCCCTAACACTAACATAATATTCGTATGACATCATTTTGAAATTTTTCATCTTTAACTCTTCTCGTGATCTTATTTATCCTTTAGACCATATGTACTTTCGGTTTCAAATTAGTTTCCAAACAATAGTTTGACATGGTTAATATATATATATATATATAAACATCTCGATAGACATCAAGCCGTAAAAATATACATATATATGTACAGAGATAAGTTGAATAATGAAAAATGATTTTTGACAAAATCGAATTGGTATTGAAATATATCGGGAGCCGCTAAATTATGATATAATGTAATAATAAAATTACTTACAAGTATTTTTGCTGAATGGAGAGGTGTCACGGCCTGAATTACTTAGCAAATTGGGCTGTACACATGAACGTCCATTGCAAAGATTTGGACAGCATTTGCCACCGATCGAGCTGCACTCACTGTCGTGTAAACATTTTGGCGTACAATTCTGTACTTTATTGTATGAGGGACATTCTGAGGCGACGCAAAGTTAAAACGTTTCAAAATAATTCAAATTTTAATCCGTAACTCACCTGATCCTAAAATCATTGCTGCCACAGTTAAGTTTATTAACAATAAAATCCAATGTTTGTTTGCTTAAATTAAAAAAAAAAAAGAAGAAGAAGAAGAACAAAAGTCGACATATTTCAAGATGAGATCAATGCTTTGTTATTCTTGTTTACTAACCCATATTGAAATTGTTGCTGCTTGTATATATGTATATATGGATTTATATATATATATATATGTATGTATGTATGTGTATATATGTGTGTATGACTGTGTAAATAAAATATAAACTGGTTTGTCTTTCACTCCGCCACTTCAGAAATCGAACTGAATATATTTGAAGGAAATTTCTTTAATATACTCTTGGCCGCGTTGCTTACACCGACTAACATTGCGACGTACAACCCACGCTATACAGAAATCGCATAAAAACTGGAATTTCGTTTTTTGCACTCGCCATTAACTGATGCGATTATACGACAATTACTATCATTCCGTTTCTTATATTCGCTACGAGTTTCATACTTAAGTGCGCATACATTCTTAACTAGCGTTAGATTTTAAGTGATTGCAATCGTGCCCTAATGCCCGTTCATTTAGCCGTTACTTGGTCGCAAAAATTTCATTTTCTAATGATTTAACTCGACGCACATGCATTTACAGTTGATGTCTATAAATTATTGGTGCAAGCGAATTATGAATATCGCATACATATATCTGCAATGGCTATGAAATAGAAAAACACAAAACCACACAATTTTATAGACATTCTTAACAATGTTGCTCAGGTTTAATGCCCGATATGGTCTGTTGATGCGTTCACATTTGCATCAGTGTGACGAGTATCTAAAATTCGTCGCAAAGCTAACTTTTTCTGCTATATGTACATATACATATGTATATTTACATGTATATACATATTTATGTATGTATGTATCCAATACAAACATTAAATTAAATACGTGAAACATTTCTACGTTCACCGAAGATAAAATTAACTGCACGTACAGTAACGTGAAATTAAGCCGACTTCGGTATCCCCCTCTATTTGATATAAGATTGCGGGTCTACTCGTAAATTATTTTTGTAAAGGTAGAGAAATTTTAATTTAAATTGTGAGAGAGAAATATAAGGTCAGCTTGATTCTGTCTACCACTGAGATATGCGATTAGATTAATTGTGTCGTTCGGTTTGTAACACCGAACTATACGCGTGGTAAAGTTCGTAACAAAATGTAAAGTATATATCGTTTCAATCAGCAGGCGACCGTAAGTGAATTTTGTTTTTATCCATTTTCCCCTCTCTCTCTCTCTCTGCACACATAAATCGCGTCAACCGTCGCCGTGTTTAGACTTGTCATTAAAAAAACTTCATCAGATTGGTCGGTTAATAAGTCACATGCTGAGCTCTTAAATACGAAAAAGTAAAAAATTACATTAAACGTAAAGTATTCTTAATTTATCTTAGCCCGCAAAGAGTCTTACAATATCCAAAGAGTGTGAAGAAGTTCTGCAAAAAAAAAAGCAAATCTTTTATTATATCAGTATCTAAAATGCTTACGGAAAATTTTTTATTTAATTGCCTTAACTAATGGGTACACTAGTGGCTTCGACCTTGGGCCCATAAAGCTTTCTTCTATATACTGGATGACTTTCATGATTCTTAAAATACCACAGACTGCTGTTGCCATAAGTAAAAAGCTATTGTTTTCATTTTCGTCCTGGAGAAGCATTAAAAATCCCTAAAATATTAACATTTTTACTTTCGAAATGCCAACTGAGAATATAGTTCGACAGGGCCATGCCCTACTTTGCCTAATACGATTCTTTCATTATCAACGTGTCAACAAGTAGATTATGTTAACATACAAACGCGCACTTATCATAAAAACCCAAGAAATAGATCAATTGAATTCACAGTTAACACCATAAACCCGACCCACTATTTTCCAGTGATTTTCTTGACAAAATATTAAAAATTAGATTATGTTTTATATGAACGCTGTTTATACGAGAGGCGCTTCAAAAAATCCAATCGGAACTTTTCGCACTCATGAAGACAAGGATTTCATAAAAGGAGAGTAAATGGTTTTTGAACTTTATGTGGAGAGCGGTCGTCAAAAATTTCACCAATCCAATCCATTTCGAACAGAATCTGTCCTTGGGCTAAAGCAAGTCGTCAATGCGCTATATTTTAAACAAAAAAATTGCAATCTGTTTGTGGACATATGCCAGGCAAACAGATCGTCAGAAAATGTTCTCGCACAGGTCTTTGTGAACTCCCTCCCTCTATATATATATATATAGGTGCATAAACTTAATATTATACACGATTACCCATATTGACGTAGGGCATGTTCTTAATCGCTATGAGAGGTTTACTCTTTTTAGCCGTGATCGCCTTTGTCTACCCTCCTCCAACCGAAAAATTGGAAAGAGAAAGGTCGTGAAAATCGTGAACCGAACGTTTACTCAGTGCTTTCCTCATTCTTAGCCATCGGAATTCGCTATTCGTCAGTTGTCATTTTCTTCTCATTTTATAGACAACATTTAAAAGTCCAAGTTAGAAGCCTTGAAATTTTTTCATGCCTATAAGGACGGGGAATGCATAAAGATCGCGAATCTTCTTCTTCTGAGAGTGCGTCTGCTGACTCCTAAACCAAAAATTTCTTTGAAAACGCCTCTGATAACACTTACACTTAGACGACTTATCACACATCTTACGAAAGCTATTACGCTCTGTGTCAATGCAACGATCATATATTAATCGCTTAGCCTCATATATTAAATAATCATGTGGTCAATTATTTTGGATAAACTTTTGAAATTCACGATTTCACTACAAATACCTGTTTTTGCTTGCGCTGCTGCTGTCAATGCTTACGATAATTAATTTATAGGGCACTCAACATTCTAGTGCAAATGTATAGTGAGAGTTTAAGATATTCCAAGTTTAGGGGAAGCACATGAGGTTTTTGCATAATAAGTGAATTTCATTGGAACGCGTGACTTCATCTGTTTCATCTGTTTTTACAAATGTAGAAAAAGTTGCTTCTCTTGTCAGAAGGTCAGCTCTTTGGCCAAATGCTTGTTTATGTAAACGAAACGCAAAACTGATGTGCGATGTGAATTGTTCAAGTGTTTTATTGAGAAGACGAAAAAACTGAAAGATACGAGTAAACGGAAATGATAACAATTCTTGTAAAAAGATAGCAAGCGAATAGATAATTAATTTGATATACAATGTGACGTTGCAACAAGCTCCAGCACTAACGGCATGATTGGGCACTTTTTGGGCATTAGAAAATTCCCATATCTCGAAATTCAATACTTTTAATTTTTAAGATATATGTGAATTTTAAAACTCCCACGCTTTGCAAATACCTTAGGGATGACCAGTCTTAGATAGGAGATCATAAGCATCGGGAACATCCTAAGTATTGTGCATACATTTTTCTCTTTTAAAGGCGGGTCGAGATATGAAAAAAACTAAAAACACAAATTAATACGAATTACATTAGTTGGTCATCTTGTCACTTTCGCTTACCGGGAAATAGAGAAATTCGCTTGGAAGCAGTCATTATCGTTATTCAATGCATTACAAAAACCGGAGCAATTGTAAATGTTATCTGTTTTGGATTAGCAGGAGCTGTGGAATCCGCTTATATTTTTATAGGACAATTTGTATTCTCATACTTGGATGGATAAGAAATGTTCCGTCATGTTTGCATTATAATAACGAAGCTACTCATTAACTCTTAGAGGCTTGTTCCGCTGCAGAAGCAATTACAAAATACAATTAGTCAAATATGTTAAGAAAATAGCAAGTTCTGCTTGATGAATTCATCAATCTCTTGGGATATTTTGCCGTTGTAAGAATTCGAAAATTAAGTTCCCTTGAGACGTAATGCGTAATGCCTCATTTCACATCAGGCGAACTATGAATGATACATCATAATAGTTCGACCTTAGGGATCTTCGCTTCTTGCTGTGGTGTATTCGTTGGATGCGTCGGCTAAAAATATCAAATATTTTATTTATAACAAAAATTGCATTCCATTAGTTAATCTGAACAAGATGAATTCATATTGTAGTGACCATCGAAAATTATTTTTATTGTTTGTTGAAATTTATCCCAGGGGCTGTATGGTGTAAAGCTTAATTGCTTGCCAACGAACACCAATATCAGCTCGATTGGCGTATCGTCTACGAATGATCCTTCTAATGGGAAGTCGTCCGGTACATGTACATATGGAAGTTGAGGCAAACACAATTTCGATGAATTCAATTATCATGTTCATGTAGTAGTAATGAGAAAATGCAACGCAAGTGTTGTGATTAGAAAATTGAATGTAATGCTCGTGAATCTGTTCATTTGCAAAACAGTACATGCATGTACACATTTACATTTTAAAGGTTAAAGTTTTTTTAGTTTTAACTTTCATCACTTTGAAGCTAAAGTTGAGCTCAGTTTGCTTAATTTACTAATAGCTTCGTTTTTAGACTTTTATGAAACTTTTTAAGAATTATACCGAGAAATTTTAAATGAAAAATATTTTTTAAATTTCATTCTAACATTTCGCCTTTCTATCACGGAATTATTGAGATTGAATATTTGAAGAAAGTTTCAGCGGACGAACAAACAACTTGTTGATTGTGAACATCGTGGAATGTATGAAGCGATGGGCTTGATACGTTCGCAATTAATGTATTTAGGCGGAAGGGAGGGGATTGGAAAAAGTTTTTCTTGATTTACATATCGTTGAAATCCATAAAATTTGTTTTAACATAGATTAGCATAGAATTGAAAAGCAAGATAACTATGCGACTTTCAAAATGAATTTTTTTCTTTTTCTTTTTCATAGTCGTCTTTAAGGCGCAAATCGATATTCAATGAATAGCATAATCAAGTTTTTTTTGCCATATCGATTGTTATTACACCTAACGATTGGTTGGAGAGTTCATGACTTTTCAGTGCACTTATTAAACTACTTACCGAGGACTTTTTTTTTTTCTTTTTAAAAAACAAATCATATCGAATTATGTTGCGGGGAAAGATATAATTCTCTTTGATACGGATTAAGGACCACGTACGAAAAAAATGATATACGAGTTCTTGAATCAACGTAATATTATATGTATATCTTGGTTATGATTTTAGCGATTGTGAAGTTATATGCAGATGAAGATGCAGATGCAGACCGCAATCACTGAACGCATATATTTGACTTTTGAAAATTGGCCATCTTTGCTGCAATTAAGCAAAGGGCCAGCTTAAAGCAAAAGTATATAAAATGAATTTCACCCATCACATCAGCTCTATTATATGTATCGCATAAATGATGAGAAATCTTTAAATACAAATAATATTTAATTATCTTTTATAAAAAAAAATTTTTTTTTTTTTTTTTTCTTTTCAACAAATATTCAAACTCATCTTAAGCTTATAATGCAAATTAATTTTAAAACTACCTGACAACAACTATCTTACAATAAGATAAAAATTAATTGATTTTTGTCTTAAAACGATGTACAAAATTAATTAAAAAAAAGAAAATTTAAAATAAATAGATTTTATACCAAACAAATAGAACAAAACAATGATTTACATATATTTACATCAAAACTATTGTATACACTTTGACTAGTTGCATCATATGGAGGCAAATTCAATTACAATAACAAGACATTTACACCGAGCAAAAAAGTAATAGAGATTTACAAAGGCGGAATGGTAAGGGGAACGAGTACAACGTGCTGCTCTAATTTCTTTTATTAACGAAACGTATTCCCCAGTCTTCTTTAATCATATCGGCCCCCTTTTCGCCAATCATGATGACAGGAGCATTCGGATTGCCATTAACAATAGACGGCATAATGCTGGCATCTATTACCCGTAAACCGGAAACACCGTAAACGCGTAGACGGGAATCGACTACAGCTGTAGGATCCCAATTGGGACCCATTTTACATGTGCCCGTCGGATGATAAATAGTAAATGTGAACTGCTTAAGGCAACAAGCCCAGTAAGAATCTGTGTTGAATTCCAAATGCCGGCAACCGGGCAACGGAATGTTGTGCAGACGAGATCCAAAACGTTGAAATGCTTGCGTATTGGAAACATTTATCGCTAACTTAATGCCTTCCACTAAAACATCGATATCTTCCTGGTGATCGAAGTAATTGGGTATGATGTTCGGTTGTTGTTGTGGATCACGTGAATTTAAACGCACCCAACCCGTGCTTTTAGGACGTAACAATAATGGCAAAATGGACCAGGTTTCCAAATTCTGTATAGGCTTATAGACGGTATTGTAAAAACCATCTCTGAGATTTAGCACTTTTCGCACTTGATCGCCACCATCGGAATTCACGGAACTGGGGCAAAAATGAAATTGTATATCAGGCCAATCAATATTGGGATCTTGATATTTTGTATTAAGGAAGGCGACACCTTCCACCCCGGTAAAAGTCATCGGACCGCGTTCTCGTAATATATATTCCATGGAAACGGGTATTGTTTGAAAACGATTCCGTGTCACTGTTAATGGAGAATCTATCACGAATGTTAAGCCACCCAGGCCAACATGATCTTGAAGATTGTTACCGACTGGCAAATCGACAACCACTTGTATACCCATGTCTTGCAAATGATCGGCGGGACCTATCCCTGACAGCATCAAAAGTTGTGGGCTATTCAAAGCTCCAGCTGAGCAAATAACTTCTCTTTTCACAAAAATTATATTTCTATGACCATTTTTTACATATTCGACTCCCGTTACTCGCTTGCTTTTATTAACTATAATCCGTGTTGCTTGAGCATTTAGCAATACATGCAAATTCTTTCGCAGTCTTACTGGCCGGATGAATGCTTTACCAGTACTGCAGCGAGATCCTCGCCTTATAGTGCTTTGAGTTATCATGAAGCCCGTTTGTACCTCACCATTGATATCACGATTTTCATAGCCCATTTCTAGGCCGGCTTGGAGAAAGGCTATTGATAGCGGTGTACGCCACGGGGACTCTTGAACCGTCAAATAACCACCTGTGCCATGATATGGCGTTTTTGCCAAGTAAGGGTTACGCACATCTTCAGATTTTAAGAAATACTTTAAGACATCTTCATAACCCCAGCCAGGATTGCCTTGCGATTCCCAATTATTGTAATCGTTTTTGGAGCCACGTACATAAACCATAGCATTGAGAACACTGGATCCCCCTAAAACTTTACCACGCGGCCAAAAGCAGCGATCCCCTCTCATGGCTTGACAATATTGGCGGTTAGGTGAAGGCGAAGTTTGATATCGCCAATCCATATTGGTTAACTGTAAATAAGCTGCTAACGCGGGAACATCGGAAATTTCCGTTTCATCACCACCGGCTTCCAAAAGCAACACTGTCCAATTTCGCATCTCTGATAAACGATTGGCCACTACTGCCCCCGCAGAGCCACCGCCTATTATTACAAAATCATATTGACGTCCAATCTGTAACGAAGAAAGATATAATAATTGCGATGGATATATAAATGAACGATACTTGCACGTACCACTTGAGCTTCTTGCACCTTATTTTCGGGATCTACACTCTGATAGTTATAGTAATTCAAACCAATTGCGAGCAGAGGGATCATTCCCAGTATGGACGCCATAGCGCCCAGAGCCATTTTTCTGTAATTGTCAAATCCAAGGATCTTCACTCACTTTTGCAGACCTCTTGCTTATATCAAAGCCGTTAGCTAAAGGTGCACTCGTCGATAACGGCAATTCAGCTAATATTTTCGGTGTGTAATTACGTATGCCACCCGGTTTTGCTACTTTGTACTGGGCGCGTGCCCGTTCGTCTTCTTCGAGAATATCCAAATACGATTTAATATATAAATGATGATCAAGATAATCTTTTTGTTTTTGCAATGATTTGCTGGATTTAACCGAGACGACGGACGTGCCACCGCCGCTAGTTGTCGAGGCTGCCGATGAAAAGCCCGTCGGTGTGCTAACGCAGGATGAGTAATAAATGCCACTATCAATACTTTGCGAATTATTACGTTGATGTTGATGCCGTCCGTTTTGACCTTTATAAAGGTCAGATTTTTCTCGAAAATTACCCAATTGATAATCCGATGATATTGAGCTGCTATCTAAAGATTTTCTCGAACCCAGCTGTTTCGATATTTTGCTCTTCTCATAGATCTGTTTACTCAAATTATATTTTTGGCGATGTTTATAGTATTCGTCGTCGGTCGAGGAAGAGTTCGAAATGCTCGATGAGCTATAAATTAATTCCTTATGTTTCGTATATTTCTCGTTCGGTTTACTTAAGTGTTCCAGTTTGTAATTTCCAAGTTCCTCTTGCGACGATTTATGCTGATATTCCCGATAGTGCGATTGTTGCTGACGTCTACTGCTGCTACTGCTTATGTTACACTTATTTTGTTGCGATATCTCTTGTCCCATATTTCAGTCAGTTTCAAATATAGGAAGCTATGAATTTATGTTGAAAGAGAAGTGAAAGAAAAGAAAGAAAAGTCAATTATTAATTGACCCATATTACGTAACTGTCATAACGGTATTGTATATGAACAGTGGAATTTTAAATACGCATTCGAGCGCACAACAACTTATTTATAAATTGAAATGCGAAAAAGAAAAATACCGCTGCACGAATTTCTTATCGCTATCAAACTGCATTATAATAAAGCAAAAACAAAAAAAAAAAATAAAAATAAAAACAAATAAAAACAAAGAAAACATATAAAATATATTTTATATGTAATTGAATGCATGCTTTACTTGTCGCTTTGTCGTGTTGCCGCTTTCCTGGAAACCCTTCTTCTTGTACGGTACACATTACAATTTCTAATTAGTATGAATGCTTTAGTGATCTTTAAGCTTATTATCCAAGTTTACTTGTTAGTTTTGTTAGTGTTTGTCCGCGAGAATAGACACCGAGACACAAAGTGCGTTACTCAAATATTCATACAACGAAAAGCATTGAATGTTCAAATTTTCTTCAAATTCTTCTACTACTACTACTACTACTACTACTAAGATGGACAGAACTAATATAAATCACAAAACCTTTAATGTATATATATATATATATATTAAACGTTTTAACGATGCTCTAATTAAATTGAAACAGCACAATTGTACCTGAGTATCAAGATCGATAATTATGTGCTTATGCGTATTTAAAAAAAATTAATTTATTATCGCATAACTATCTGTTCGGCTATAGTGGTTTTAGTTACCCATACAAATCAATGTAAAGCTATTCTCTCACGGCATGAAGCTTCATATTGATCCCTAAGCTGATTGAGAAACATAGGAAATTATTTCGTTTCCCGCTTTAATCAATGCATGGCGTAACATTGGCGTATTTTGGTGTTTCATTAAAATCCTGACTTTCTTTTCCAATCACAATTCGATTTTATGTAATATTGCCTCAGATATTTAATACATTTTCACGCGTTACATAATTCGCTAACTGACGTTTTTCTAGAAAAACTAACTACTTTACCGGTATAACTACATAACACAAATCCAATTAAATAAAGTCTGGGGAAAAAAAAACATAGTTTTTTAATACGTATATGTATATGCATAGCATGCAAATAAGCATAACTGGACTTTTGCTTTCCTTACACTTTCTCGCCTAGATTTTTAAATCTGCATGCGAAGCTCTACCCAAGTTGCGGCAAAGGTTTTGCACGCAATTACCACATTTTCAACATATGCGCAAATTGATGATTGCGTTAGCGCCGCCAATTTTCCGTATAAATAGTTACTGTAAGCAACCGAATATATTAAAAGCAAATGTACCGAACTGAGCAGATGCATTGCAAGCACAAATGAATGCAATAATTTTCTTTACTATCTACACACATCGTCTAACTTGCTGATACTTAATGATACACATGTTAATATATGCTCAAATACAAATGATATGATGATTGTATCTTTAACTGCCTTAAACAAAAATTCAAGTAAATTGATAAAAAAAAAAAAAAAAATGAAAATAAAAATAAAAATAAAAAGAAGTTGTTTCCCTTTCAGCAATGATAAAATATCATTGTATACATATGAGAAATTATGTTTCGTTCACACGGTACGAATAGTTTGTTGCTCTTCTATTTAAATGTGTGTGTTTGTTTTCCATTTGTGCATCATCAATTGAAACCCGATTAAGGGAACTATTCAAATGCCCGGAATTTTTTTCACGCATGCATGCATTACTTTGCTTTGCTTGCAACAAATCGCATTATCTTCTTCAAGCGGAAAATATAATAATACTACTGAACAATTGTAAGTGATATACGTAATAAAACGTAATACTTGCATAAGGCCGACCATTAAACACGCTACATTACTGCTTTCGTTATAGAAAATCAAAAATTACACTCTTCCACCATATAAGGGCATATGTGTGATGAGAACTCTCGGCTGAGAGGTGAATCCGAAAAATATACCAATGTAATTCAAAGTTCAATTTTGTAAATTTATATATCTCAAATCGCTATTCCGGTTCAATTTTTATTTTAACATACAAAAAATGAGATATTGGTGGCATATAGAGATTGACTTTATCATCATGTTTACATTAAAGAAGATTCAAAAGTGTTTCACAATCATTGAAATTTTCGACATTTACTTAAGATGGCGATTAAAAATAGAAAATGATTTCATCTAATCACTCCTTTCAAATGCATTGCTATACCGGTCGAATCAATGGATTTACTCTTTTAGCTTAAAATATTTAAGTTTATTATAATTCATTTAAATTTCTCGAGCCCTGCTGTCTTTAAATTGAATGAAACAACCCATGAACGGAGCGATACTGCCCAAAATTGATAATGCCGCCATCACAAGCGGTGCAGAGTATAATGAAAGAGAACCAACTGTTTGAACATTATTGCTTCTGGCATTCAAGCTGTGAAGAGTAAAATGTTTTGTTTATAGCAAAAATTTTGCTATAAAGGTGGGAAAGCAATGGGAATTAATGTTTATACTAATATTAGATGAGTCGAGCATATCAAGTAGTAGTCAAGAATAAAAGTGGCTAAGTCATCAGCTTCGAAATCAGGCAAAAACGTATAAACTTATTGCGGTATGACCAGGGCGGTCACATAACTTTCTCACGAGTGCTTTAAAATCCCCCCCAAAAAAAAAAACAGTGTTCAGAGGCGCGGAGCAATTAAAATAACTTCTCCTGCTTCCGATAATCGCATTATAATGTTAGCAAAGCAAAGGGTTCGGTCTGATACCCCGTTAAAAAAGCATTACGGATAGGTTTGTACATAAAAAACTTGCTGGAAACTGTAATGTTACCGTATGCCAAAGAAAATAAGCCTCTACTATGGAAATTTCAGCAGGATAATGATCCTGCCAAAAACGTGGTTCGTGGATCGTATCTTGATCATCATTGAATGGCTAGGGCACTCTACCTCAGTCTCAGTCCTGTTGAAAATGATTGAGAAGGACTAAGACGTCATGTTTCCTATAGCAATAAAAAGGAATTGTGAGAAAATGTTTAAAAAGCATGCTATAATATCGCAGGAGAGATCTGCGATAATTAAAATGTCATATTTTCTGTAGCAATAAAAATAAATTGCGGAAAAACATTCAAAAAGCATGATAGAATATCTCAGTAAAGATCTGCGATAATTAATTTCATCCATGCTTATAAAAATCGAAGAAATATTCTCTACACCGGCTATTGACTGTTTGCAATGATTTCTATAAAAATGCTTACTTTTGAGTACAATATTTTGCGATATTTTTAACTTTCTCTCTACACATCTATTTTACTATTGTCCACTTGCGATGCGATATTTTTGAAATAAAACTTTTTTTATTTGACACATCGCTAAATTCCACTTTAAAAATAGAGAAATGTTTCTACTGATAAATATAATGTATAGCAAGAGCTAAATGAAAACGAATAACCCATGTCCTATCTTTACAAGGTTTAATGATAGAAACCTTTAACCGAAATTTCAAAAGTTTTATCCGCAATAAATGATATTTCTGCCATGCATCCACTAATAGTAGTGCAAGCAATCTACATATAATTCCATGTTAATCGAATCGAAAATATATAATCGTTTTAAATATTTCCATACCTATAAATTATAAATATTAATTGAAATAGATTTTTGCAGAAGTAAGTATGTGTTAATGTTATGAATAGAGATATATTTAAAAACGACGATCACGATTTTGTTGCAAAACAACTCTTTGCGGGAACAATCATTTATTGAATTTTTAAACAGGATTTCCTTTTATTTTACATTTGATAGATATTCCGCACAAAGTAATAAAACGGGGAGGAAATTCAGACCAGACAGTGCAACGTTTTATTGATTAAATCAAAATTTTTTCTTTTTATTTATAATATTATGGCTGCTGTTGTTGCTTAAAATTTAACTGGTTTTTATAGGCGACAATGGTTTCTGCCACAACAAGTTTGTTGCTTAAGTCTTTCGTTTAATGCAATATTTTTTCACTTATTTCTCGTAATTCCGACAGTATGCCTTTGTTTTTTTTTTTTTATTTAAATTATAATCTCGCGTAAGCGTTTCTTTTTTTTTTGTAATATATCACTTTCACAATCGCACGCATATATATTGCAACTATATCAAATATTAAAACAATTAAGGTTTTCCAAAATCTAAAAAAAAGCTACGAAAATTTCAAAAAAAAATTATTTAATTGCATAAATTATTGTTTCATGTCAGTTGATCGTCTTGAAAAAAATTATAAAAATAATAATAATAATAATAATAATAAAAAAGTATTAAAACAGAAAATATTATATGATTAACTTTTATATCAAATTTTTTGGTTATTTTATGTGTTTGTATGTTACAAAAAAAATATATAAATCTTTATAGCGAAAGAAATATTAACGGTTTTCGCTTATTTTCTTTAATAATTTCTGTGCAACTGGTTTAATGTGCTTAATCGAGGCGTTTTTTATTTTTATTTTTTTTCTCTGTTTGCAATCAAAGAAGTGCGAATCAATTGGTTACTGAAACTGTACTGATGAGTATGTAATCAAACAAATGTTATAGCGAAGCGTTTTCTTTATCGCATACGATATTCATCTATAATTACATTTTAGAGAAATACAAGAGTAAGGAAAAATGATTAAAATCTAATACACGTTTAGTTTGCTCTTAATTGGTAAACTGCAATTAGTGGTGGGTGTGCACTCGTCAGCTTCGATTTTCAATTGCATTACAATTTATCCAATCTCTTTTATTAAGCATCTCACACACAATCGTTTTGGTTGACTTATGAAAATACCTTAAGCGAAATAATATTTGTACAGTAGTATATGCAAAACAAAGCTTTCTTTATATCCAGTCAAATTATTTCGCACTCTAAAACAACTCCTTAAACATATCTACAATGTTCCATGCGATGTCATATATATATATATTAGGTTAAAGAAGAAAAGCTGTGGCATTTTCTCCCAATAGATGACCAAAGGTGCGCTTCTGGCAGAGATTCAAGACGCTACGGCTTTGGTTATTTCAACTGAAAGTATGAAGTAAAACCGCATGCGGGGAGGGGAGGGAGTTTTTTTTATATATATACGTGAGATTAGTGACTCTGAGAATGTTTTCTATATGTGCAAGCACAATGGTGGCTAGGAAGTGTTATAGGCAGAGTGAGGTAGAACAAGGGAGTAGTATCCGCGTATATTCGACTTGAAAGTAGAAACATTAGGCCTGATGGGCAAAAAGTGTTCCGGTCGGTTGCTCAAAGCCGGCCAGTGCGGTTAAAGAATGACGTGTCGCGGTAGTGTAACTGAAAAACGCATACAGCAATGTTAAAGGATTTAATTGGTGGACAAATCCTTTTTATCTGTGTAGAATACTTGTCCTTGGACATACCTATACCTAAGCACTACAAAGTGCAAATTATGCCGGTGCTCGAAGGTATCGACAATTTGCGATACATTCTCGTCGCTCCTAATCACCTGAGCGCATGAGCCCTTAGCTATATCCATTCTAGAGTCTCGTAGCAAAACTTGGACGCTTCCGCCCACACATGTAAGCTACTTTCTAATTTTGGTCCGACATACGCGTCATATATATATATGTATGATACGGAAATATTTTTTGCATCAGTTTATAAAACCTAAGTCTTTGATTGCGTCTTTTAACACTTTTAACACACACACATGTTCAAACACACTGAATATTTGACGACAATTTTTATATATATATTTTATATTGAATAACAAATCGATAGAAATAGGTTTAAGTATATATATTGAAGTGTAGAATGCGGTATTTCAAAACAAAAGTCCACAATCATAGTATGCCATCACAATACATAAACCAAAGCATTTAAAACAAAAAAATTTTATATTATAATTTTAATCGTATAACCATTCGTGTCTTAAGGTGTGAATGGATTGCTTCGAAATAGTGTTTATGTCATTAGTGAATATGTCATTAATGTCATTGAATGTTCGCTGCAATACTTGTAATATATTGCGATAAAAGGAGATGTGTACGGGTATCTGAGAAGGACATTAATCGGCTTAAGTCCAGCAAAACTCTTTTTCCTTGTGACTTTCACGCAACCAGATCACTGCAGTAGCAATACGTTCAGCTTTGAATACACTGTACCAATGCCAATGCGAATGTGAGCTCCTTTTCAAATATATACTCTTCAGCAATTGGAATTTGTAAGAGAAGCCTTAAATAGGTGCCATAAAGGTTTGTTTAGAAATTCGCAGAGAATTCCTAACTTGAAGTCACAAGGCAGGCTATTTAATTATTATGTTACGTTAACCACTTTTTTTCCTTGTCATCCAATTTATTATATTTTTTTTTTTTTTTTTTGCCTTTTTCTTGCGATGATTTTATTATTTCATAATGCATTTAGTTAGTTACTGTAGAAATTATGAATGTCATGAATTATTATATATGACACACACAGATCTAATAAAAATAAGAAAAGGAATATATTTTGTTTTTTTTTTTTTTTTTTTGAGATAATAATATTACTTAAAATATTTAAGTAATATTTATAAATAAAATAAAAATAAATCTTGTGCATCTTTGTAGAAAATTCTCCGTAGCTCTTATTAAATCACTTAACAGAGAACACACGTAATGCATATGCAAACCGCAGCCCACTATTAAATTTGCTTTATTATGCTTTATAAAGATGTCGAAGAGCGTATCTTACTTCATTTTTTTTTTTTTTTTTTTTTTTATTTTTTTTATTCGATAAATCAAATCAATCAGAAACTACAAACTTGAAGTGTAGTTGCGTAAGACGTTGTAATAGGCAGCGCATGACTTTTAGTATGAAACGCATTCAGTTTCGCCATTTTACACTTTAAATTTCAACATCAAATTTATTTTGAAATCGATTGCGAATTTTAAATATATATATATATACATGTACAAAATACGTTCCGCAATGTTCATTGAATTGCGAATTTTCGCACCTTTGATATTACGATGTATGCACTTGTATATATATTTATACTGCTACCTAAAGATAGGTAATGGTCGAAACGTCTATCTCAACGTAATAACGAATTGTAAGCATTGTCCGAGCTATTGTTTAAAGTGAAAAAATCGAATGCATAAGTAGAGGTTGCCTTTCAATTAAACACAAGCACATCAAGTGTGTGATTCCCGAGAAAGGTATTATTTTAGGTCAACTAATCGGGTAGATAGCGTCGTCCTCGTTAAAATAAAAGCAGTTCACTTCACTCATTGCAGCAGTATCTTCAATTAGGTTTCGCCTAATTATACCGCTAACCCAATAACTGCATCAAAATTATCAGAGAAAAATGTTCGAATATTTTTACTCTCACTCATAATAATTTTATTCAAAAAAGAAAGTCATGATTTGCTTTATGCATTTTCATCACTCAGTCACTGAATGTGTATTGAAACCTTACTCTCTTTACGCGCCCGCAGCAAGAAAAAGCCTGCAACTTATACTTTCTAGCAGCTATTGAACCGATGATCTCACAAAAACGCCCTAACCTATGGAATTCTATACAAAATATTCATGTAAAACCTGTTACGAATGTTTCTTGTGGCCAATCGATTATCGCAGAGTTTTACCAAAGTATTTTGCGCAACTTTTATATTAAGATTGTTAATATTAAAGATTCGCCCGAAGAAGCCTGAAAGTTTTAGATTTTTGGTTGATTCTTCTTCGCAGACTTTGCCATATGGGCAGGAGTGATTAGTTAACACGTACGCCAAGTACGTATGTAAAGTGGAAGCAAATGCTTTTGAGATTGCATTTACTTACGTAGATGCTTTGTTAAGGTTCGTATGAATTTGTCACGTTGAGAAAAATGCGTACACGCTTGTCCCAATATTATTTACATCATTTGTAATTGCTGAGACGTAGGTTTGCTTATGTGTAGCGTGAACAACGTACAAAACGTAATGCCACGCAGTAGGCTTGAGAATTCTTCTTTTAAATCTACGACTTTCAAAAGGTCTTGGAGAAGTTGTGTTTTAACTTAGCAGTGTTTCCGCTTATATTTAACTTCTCTTATCGAATTACTTCTCTTCTCAATTTCTCAATTTGTTTTCATCGTAATCCAAATTTTGATTCACCATAAAAGTTAGCAATACATTGCACTAATCTGACTAATGTCTACCGTACCGCCATTGAGTACCAAATTGTACCAAAAAAAAAGGAAGGGAGGCAATTCAAAAATTGTTGTTGTTGCATTCATGCAAAATAATTCAACAGAATGTAATAAATGCAGGCAGTGTGAAATAGTGTGTGTACACCCTCTGAGATTTGTAAAAAAAAAAAAAGAAAAAATGATTATTCTAATGATTATCTATACGCAATTTATTTTGGCAAACGATTGGCTTGACTGTCGTTCCGATGGGGAGTTATATTCAAAGCCTTTCATACTCGCAAAAAGAATTTATAATCCTTTTAAGGACTTGCTCTTCATTCCGAGTATGCCTTTTTTGTATGTATGCTGCATTCATTTCAAGGTCATCCTTTTAGAAGTCCAATCTGAAATTTTCGGACCTGCAATGTCCATATAGTCCTTCGAATAAACTCTTGCTTTGGATATCCACCACATATTGTGCCGAGTGTCCGTAACGCTGAGAAATTCAATCTCCAAGTTAGCTTTTAAAAAGCAGGCTGACTGAATACTAACTGAATATACAGAACTGCGTCTTAGTTGCACATTTTATGATGTTTCCTTTAGCAAAATCGTCAAGTTCGAAGTCGAAAAACCTCCTAAATCGAATCAATGCCCGATTCATGATAAAAAATATTATTGATATGGACATGGAATCCTAGATTGTAACTTTCTATCATAATTATAAATGGCCATAACTGAGTCAATTTAGAACTCTATTCGAATAAAAATCACATACATGTTGCACGTTGTGTCATTCAATTCGGTGAATATGATAAGACAAACAGAACACGTGCCGGCAATAAAATCAACTTTCGAAACAAAACAACGGAATTTTGATACAATGGAAAGATTGAAAAGAAAAACACTTGGAATAGATAGATAGTGGGCATGGTAGGCAGAGTACGTAGGCACAGCATGTAATAGGAATGATAATGAAAATCGCTGTGTCAATGCCAAGATTAAAAAGATTGAATGAATTCTTTTAAATATTATTATAATAATAATATTAATTTTAATCAAATTTAATTTACCTTTTAATTGTAATTAAAATATTTGCGTTTTGTATATAAAACTTCCGGTTAATTCAGTGAAACGGTTTGCTTCCCCTTAACAAACTTTCAAGTAAATATTTCAACATCATTTTTATTGAAAACGTCATGTTTTTACTTTCTTTTTAATTTAACACAAATTTTCGCAAAAATATTTTACAAAATATTTTAAAAATTTTCTTTGAATTTTATTTAACTATCGTTAACTCGTTTCTTATTATATATGCTTTATATATACATATGTATATATAGATATATACATACATATATATATATATATATATATAGATATATATATATATTATATTTCTATATTAACTCTAAAAATAATTTCATTTCATATCATTTCATTTGATTTAATTCAATATCAACAACAACTTTCTTTTGTCACATTTCGCGTTATTTCATTGGCATTCAATTCACATTATCAATGGATTAATGTGTGTTTCAGTTAATTATCGTAAAAAAAAAAAAGAAGAAAAAACAAAAAAATGCCACAACTATTTAGCTATCACCAGATCGCAGGACTCGTGCCGTGCTAGTGTTGATTGATACTTTGAATATAATAATTTAACTTATTTGATTTATTTACACAAGTAAATGAAAGAAATCAAAATCAAAGAAAAAAATAAATAAATAAAAAAAACAATTCAGAAAACCGTTAGTTAGTTCGTTCATTTGCCGTTATGTTGTTCACTCTGCAAAAGCACTTTGAAAAATGATCACTTTTTCGTATTCCAAAAATTACAGCTTATGGCGGCTCACGTATCGCAACTCCATACATACGCATATAAATAAGTTGCCGTTGAGAGTTTACGCTACGTGTTGTTCATTATGTCTATTATTATTATTATATCACTCAAGTAATCATAACATCATTATTATCATGTGCCCCACTCGCTGTCGTTTAGTAACGAAAGTTTGCAGTTAACGACTTTTGTTTTTAACATTTTCTTTTTGGCAATAAGCCAAAAACGATACGAGCAATCTTCACCCCGTAAGACAATATCAAGTTTATGTCGACAAACGGATGGGGTAACAGTTTAAGTAAGCGGGGAGATAGAGAGAGAGTGAGAGAGAAGGAGAGAGATAAAGAGAGAGAAAGAAACAGAGAGAGAGAGAGAGAGAGAGAGAGTGGATAAGAGAGTTATGGGAGAATAGAAAAAGCTCCCGCTTGATTATTTATTTATTTATTTATTTATTTATTTATTTACTTATTTTAATTCTACTTACACATGAAACGAATTTTTAAGGATAAAAGCTAGTTTAAGTACAACATAGGTAAATCACGCGTATTAAGTAATGTTGCTTTAATGGACTTTACAGAGTCCGATAACGAGAATCAGTGATAGACGTCATTTAGGTTCTTGCAAACGACACGGAGCGGATTAAACAACTCATAATTATATTTACACTGACTAAGCTTAACCAAGATAAAGTGCCCTAACGTTGCCAAATAAAATGAATGTTGTTCTATATTAAAATCAATAAAAAAAAAAAAACTATTAGGTCCATGCGTTCTTCCGTAAGCAACACTGCATAAATTTATAGAAACGTCCAGATAATTTGAAAAATTCAAGCATTCATAAATGTTTGGAAACAGTTGCATGATCTCTATCTACTCGATATCGATATTGGTCACATAGCAAAGCCAAAGTCGAATAAAAAGAATAAATCGATGCAAATAGCAGGCATTTCATCAGATCGAGCATCACATTGGAGGTTAAGATATCTATGAACAAAGTTGCCGAAATCATCACAACTATTTTCGCTTCATGCTAAAAAAAAAAAAAAAAAAAAAAAAAACACACACACCACTCTTAATATCATTATCTACGAATCTTGACGAAGAGATTTTTCGGTACGCCAGCCCTAATTCTAGCCTTTCATTAGTCGGCCCCATCGGCCGAATACAAGAAAAGCTCTAGTCTAGCGTTAAAGGGCGTCTAAGTTACCCAGCAACTTGAGCACATACATAACGAATAAATCAATATCAACGTTCCGTTTCATATATCGGAGATGACATTGAATGAGAAAATTACTGCGACAATGCAATTGTAAATCTGGAAGAGGTCTTCAATAAAGTGCACGCTGATAGGCTATATTTCAAACCTACACACGTAGAAACATTATAATCCGGTAGCGCCGATCTTTGCAAATCGTACATCACTTCGCCGAAGTCAGTTATTCGCTTGTTTTCGAAATAATACACCAAAAAGTACACATTGGAAGTTAGGTTTGCATTGCCTATAAGAGTTTGGGTTTCGTGATAGCGTGCATCTGCATATGCTAGAGTCCAACAGGAATATACTTATGTGATCCAAATTACCTGGCGTTCATTTTTTGGCTGAAACTCTACTAGCTAACTACTCTTATCTGAAGTGGGGCCAAGAATTAAACCTATGCGGTTAGGTCCATTAGGTTCACTTAATTTTTTTATTTAATTACTATCTTTAAACAAAATTTTCATCATTTTTTCATCGAAAATTCAACTCTTTTTGGCATATAAGAATTAAAATTTCATGAGAACTTATACTTACTTATATGTGATGCAAAAAATAGACATACGTGGTCCGAATTCGATAAGATAGATTTATTTGCCAATTAACTATTATGTGCTAATTTTCACCATAAATATATTGATAATTCGGACTTTTTACTATATATAAAGGGTATATGAGAGGGGATTTAAAAAAATTGTCCCAGCCGGCCCGAAGTTTTCGTACCAATTTAGTATGTCTAAATATTACCGCTCAGCCACTTTTGCCCAGAAATTGTAAGTAAATTGCAAATTTTTTCCACAGAGAGTCTTTTCAGAATAGGGCATTATGAGGAGAGCGGTCGAAAAATTGCATCGATCCGAACCATTTGCAACAGCGTTCGTCGTTGAGCCAAAACACATCACTGCAACAAACTTTATCAAAATATCGACAAAATTGCGGTCTGCAGCTTGAACACGAACAGATATCAGACGGACAGAGAGCCTTAGATCGATTTACAAAATTATTCCGAATCGATCGAATTATTTTAGCGTATTTTCTAAGCCTGGATTTCTATAACCCTTATATCGTTATATTGTTCCCATAGTGGGGGAGGAGGGGATAACAAACTCTGTTTTTCTCCTCACCTTACCACAATATCCATTTATTTATCTTTTTAGATAGATTACCTATTAAATATGTAATCACTATATGGCGCGTTTCGAAGGGAATCGGGCATCACTAGTGAGGCCAATCCGGCCACACGATTCGTACCACTCGCTATTGTCAACACTAGTGCGATTAGGACAAGCTATTGTAGTAAAGCGTCCAGAATTGATCAATACGTCATCTTCCAACGCAGTTGTCGATCAAAGGTGATCACTGTACGAAATTTCATCTCAAAGTATCTCAAAAATTGTGACCTGTAGTTTGAGTATAAATTTACATGGACAAACGGACAGAAAGACTTAAATCAATTCAAATTATGATTCTGATTCGATCGGTATACTAAAGGAAGGGTATATGACTATCTTAAGCCATCGTTTTCCTCCGGTCCTGTCAAAAAAAAAAAAAAATACAACAAATGAATGAATTGAACTTCATACAGAAATTCAGAAGTAATGCAAATAATGTTAGGATTCATAATAACTTTTGTCTTGTGTAATGGGTATCCATCCCCATAAATAATTATATGTTTCTTACGTGGGGAATGTAATACAAATTTTATGAGTTTCGAAATATGAAAAAAAAAAAAACAAATTATTTTATTCGATTGAATTGATTAAAAACCTTGAAAAACAAAAATTAACTAAAATGAAAACAAAATTTAATTAAATAAAGATCCAGCGAAGCCATAAAGACAACTAATTAATTACGATAGCAATGGAAGATTGCGTTCATAACGTTTAATAGCAATAACTAACGCCACCGGTTGATGGGTTTAATGAAAAAAAAAAAAAAAAAATTTAATTAATTCGCTGATTTATGTACAACCAATAGCAGAGCATTAATTTTGTAAATCATTGTTATTGTAATTGGTATAACTGTGCAATGCATGGCTGATTTTCTTGCAAAAAGTTTCCATTTTCAATAGCGAAGCACGCTTTATGGCCCCGCGAGCGTTAAGAAAGGGCAACGCAGAAGGTGAGAGAGAATGGCAGCTGCCTAACACATAATACATGAAAATGAGAAGGCGGCGGCAACGGCAAGAAGAAAGGCAAACATAAATGATCGTAAATCCTTTTCAATCGTTTTACTAATAAATACGAAGTAAACAACAAGACTTTAAAGTAATAAAAAAAAAAAAAAAAATTTTTGATTTAATACCGACAAGTTTTGCCGCCCAATCAATCCGGCGTTACAATTAACCGGCAACGCATTTGCACTTGTATTATTCATATATTTATGGTTAATATATTGCGGTTGTAAATGTAAAAACAGTATAAATTTCATATACATTTGGTTTTTTTATTAATATCAATTTCTTTAATTTGCAGTTTTTCTTATTGTTTACTACTCGCCTGAGACGTTGCGTTGCGTATCTAATAAATGCATTGTATTCTTTACTTGTTCAGCTCTTTTTGTTTGTTTTTTTTTGTTTTTTTTTTTTTTTTTTTTTTTACTTGTTCCAATTTAAATATTGCGTTACTAGCGTACATAAGGAAAATTAAATGCAATACTTGGCAATAACGCGTTTTAATTTATACAAACATTCATCATAACTCTGAGATAGATATTCAAACCTAAACGCAATTATTATAAAGTTGCTCGCCTATGAGAATTTTCTTTTTGATCGAGTGATCTCAGTTCTTATTTATTTATTTTTTATTGTTGTTTGTTTTTTTTTTTGAGTAAAGATAAAGCGTAAGACGTTACTTTGAAATCATTGGCGAAGAACATCTTTATGGCGTAGCTTCGTTGGCTGCAATGACAGCTTTTGAAAAATGATACCATAACCATAATGATTACCACGTATGACTAGAAACTAATTATACAGAATGTATTCTCGCCTCAAAGTATGAACTCGTTTTGTAAAACATATTTTCCTAAACTTTTTTTTTTTTTCTCATTTTCTTCTTGTTATTTTTATTATTTTTTTTTTTCCTATGCTTTCTTTCCCATAATTTACCAATTTACAACAGGTGTTAATGCACTTTA